CCCCCCCACCTTGAGTTATCATATTTATTGAAGACATTTTTACTGAGCACCAATTCTGATTAAGGCTCAACCTCTGACCTCAAGGAATTTACAGACTAAAACAGATAAAGGTTTAAACAAATGGTTACTTGCCGCATTGAATACAGTGACGCAAGCAATAAAAGGTTCTGGGGGACACAAGGGGAAGATGACATAAGCTCTGAAGAATTGCTGGATGTTATCCAGCAAAGAAAAAGATGGTCCAGGAAGAAGGATCAGTATGATGGTTCCTGGTATTTGGGGAAATAGGATAATAGTTGGAAATGAAGTTGTGTGTTTTAGGATGCAAGAAGATGAGGCTAGACAGGCAAAATTCCACCTGGTCTGTGTTTTTCTTTGCTCTACTTAGGAATTTGGAGTTCTTCCTATGGGAAAGGGGCCCATTGAGGCTATTTAGGTTTGGGGAGAACATGAGTGAATTTTCTTTCTGGATAATAACTCTCCCCTCCATTCGGATGGTGGGTAGGAAGAGGCTCATTGTGAGCTCCATTTAGTAAACTGGTACAATGGCCCATGCTGTTGAACATTATTATTAATCTATATCTATGTAAAGGAAATAAAAAGAGCTTACATGCTGAATCATGTATCCATCTTTGGCTTTTTAAATATATTTTTCTTGAATAGTGCAATGAAATTGGTGCTAATATTTTAGTTGCTTAAAACTCTGAAAGAAGATTGTCTACATGTTATAACAGATTTTTCATCCAGTAGAGCGTATATGCTTATACTTATTAGTTTCATACTTAGGAAGCTTATATGGATATATAACTTAATTCAAAAAAGTAAGTGATTATGATTTAAAAAACACATGTTTAAGTTAATGCTAAAAAATGACAATAATTTAGTCGTGTTAAATATTTACCAGAGTCATTCCTCACATTTGAGATTCTGTTTCAGAATTTGGAACATTTGCATTTTAATTACACAATAAAAGGAAAAAGTGAAAGAATAATTGGCTTAGCTATTAGCGAATTAACAGCCATAACTTAAAAAAGATAAAAAAACACACACACACAGAAACTGACATTGGTTTCCAAAGAAGAGTTACAGTATATGTACGTTGATCAGATATTTAATGATGTTTGACAACAGTTAAGGGAAGAGGATGTTGTTTCAATCCTTTAATACAACATGTTGCTTAACACTGAAATTAATGAAAGTGAATTTGAGATATCTGACTGTAGGGTCATTCAGCTTTTACTGGTAATGTGTCCTCTGATGGGACCTGTCTAGAGTGATTCCAATTGTTAAAATCTTGTGGAGAAATAAGACAGTTGAATCCAGTAGTTGTTTTAGTCCTAGCTGCTATAACAGAATACCATGGACTGGGTGGCTTAAAAACAACAGAAATTTATTTCTCGCAGTTCTGGATGCTGGGAAGCCTAAGATCAAGGTGCCTGTGGGTTCAGTGTCTGGTTAGGACTTCCTAGTTCATAGAGGGCTATTTTCTTGCTGTGTCTTCACATGACTGGAATGGGCGAGGGAGCTCTCTGGGGTCTCTTTTATAAGGGTATTAATCCCACTCATGACCCAAAGGCCCCACCTCCTAATACCATCCTAATACCATTAGGTTTCAATATATGAATTCTGGGGGGACACAAACATTCAGTCTATAAAAGGGTCATATCCAGTTGTGTTTTTTCAGTACAGTGAAGGTTCCATCCTGTCTGGCTGGAGTCAGCAGCCATAGGGAGGTCTCAGTGCACAGGTCCAGCCCAATGACAGGAGCTGGTGGTGTCAGAATGAACTTCTGACAGCTTTTCTCTGTGTTTTTCAACAGATACGACGACATATTCCACTGAGCGATCTGAGCACTTCAAACCCTGCCGAGACAAGGACCTTGCCTACTGTCTCAATGATGGCGAGTGCTTTGTGATTGAAACCTTGACTGGATCCCATAAACACTGTCGGTAAGTCACTGCGGCGACTGGCACTGAGGGCAGGTCCTCAGAGAGGCCTGGAGGTGAAAGGGGGTGCTGAGCTCCAGGAATATACAATGTGATACATACAGTCCGGTGTTTGAATAGCAGAATCAATAGTTTTAATGTGGGAAGGAACAAGGCTGGTATCTTTAGTATTTGAGGAAGGAAAACTGAATTAAAGTAGACAAGATGTTTCACCTGATTAAGTAAAGGAAGGTTTACTTTTATATGTAACAATTTAATAGAAATAATTATTTACTCACTTCAGAAGCCTATATTTTTGGTGTGGGATTTAGGCACGTATACTCATACTCAGAAATAATGTCTTCCTGCAGACCTACAGATTGTGGCATGGCAAAGAAACTGCTCAGCTAAGATCTAGAGTCTCAATGTTTACTGTGAACCAAACCCCAGAGACTGTAACTGTGTCCAAAGAAAACTGCATCTTATTTTGATTCTGCCCTCGTTTATTAATTTCAGTCCTTTTTTTTTTTTTTTTTTTTAATACCTCTGATGATGTACTCTCCAGCAAGGTGTTGTGAATGAGATCATAGTCCTGTTACAGTCTAGGTAGAGAACAGGGAAAATTCCCAGTGGAGATCAAGAAGGTGTTTAATTGGTTTTTAGAAACCAAAGGTTAGATAACTGCTAAAAATAAAAACAAGTGGAGGTAAATAGTGGTCTTGTAGACACTGCAGCTTTAAGGCTCCATAGAAGAATCAAATTAGCATCTAAAAAATATTTCCCACCAAGCTTTTATTTCCAGCGCTACCCTGGTAATTTGTTTTTCCTTGCAGTTGTATATGCTTCAGTGATCATATATATCTACACCCCTTTCCTTCTCTTTATTTACTCTTCTCATATGACACAGTTATTAAATTAATTATTCCGAATTGTGAAGCATGGAAAATTATGACTTTCTTCTCTCGCTATTGCTACTATAAAACTTTATTCCATGTTGTTTTATTAAGATGGCACAGAGAAATGTGCCTTATAGTTATGAACTTAGAATGTGTCAGCAAATCCTGCCTGGCTCCGCAGGCTAGCTTCAGTTCACAGTGGACAGTGACACAGGTTTGGAAGAGCTGATCAGTGATAGTGGCCGATCTCCATAAGAGCCACTGTGTATCCCATCGCCTTGCATCACCCTTGACATAGTGGCTTTCATGTGACTTGGGCAGTGCCGTTACATTGACTTCATTTACAAAAGTCACCACCCATTTCTGTCCTCTGAAAACCTGAGTTGGGGATCAAGGGCAGTGGGAATGGTTCCTCCCCACATTTCTCTTTTCTTATTATGTTTATTGGATCAATGCAGACACAGGTAGAAAGCACACAGGTAGAAAGCACGCAGGTGACTTGAAGACCTCAAGGGAAAAGCCAAGAATGAGGTACCATTTCAAAGCACGAAGTGCATCCATGCTCTTATTGATGATCAGCTATGTGTTAATATTACCTTTGTCAATCCAGTGGTGTCATATGTGGAAGTGGGCAGTGCCATCGAATAAGTTTGAATTTAAAATTGATTGATGAAGGGATGAAACAGAAGCCTCACCTAAAGCAGTGACTTTTGTGATGGTGTTTTACCCCAAGGAAGTTTCAAATCAGGCCCCACCACTATACGCAGGCAGGTCTGATTCATCATTTCGAAAACTGAGAATGTTGAAAAAAACAAAAGAATTCCTATTTGTTTTTAACATACAGCCTCACTATATTCTCTGTTATGTTCACAGGTGCATTAGTTTGCTAGGGCTGCTGTAACATAGCACTGCAGATTGGGTGGTATAAACAACAGAAGTATATTTTGTCACAGTTCTGGAGTCTAGAAGTCTGAGATCAAGGTGTTGGCAGGGTTGTTTCCTTCTGAGGGCCACGAGGGAAGGATCCCTTTCAGGCCTCTCTCCTTGGCTTGTAGATGGCCATCTTCTCCCTGTGTCTTTTCATTTTCTTCCCTCTGTACAAGTCTTTATTCAAATTTCCTTTTCTTAAAAGGGCACCAGTCGTATTGGATTAAGGTCCACTCTAATGACCCTATTTTAACTTGATTGCATCTATAAAGACTCTTTCTCTAAATATGGTCACATTCTGAGGTACTGGAGGTTAGCACTTCAACATTGGTTATTTGGGAGACACAATCCAGTCTATGACAGTAGATCTCAGGTCCAGAAAAATAATTCTTTTCTTTTTCACGTATGTACATGTCTGATTTTTTTTTAACATAGACAAGCAGAGATATATCTATGTTTTGGCTGGAACAATGTACATGTATAATAATTTTGGCTTCTGTCTTCATATTTCATGCATATTTCAGCACAGACAACCTTTTATTTAACATAGAGTCACAACATAGCTAATCATGACAAAAGACCAGCCTAAGACAGAACTGGAACTCCGGTAGGTTAATAAGTGCATATAAATCTCCTACTAGTGCATATGAAGAAATCACACGTTGCATGTGTCAGCTATTCATCTCCCAGGCTTTGCTGTGAATAAAAGGCCTACCATTTGTTCCTGCATCAGCCACTTGTAAGAATTCCAATGTAGTTATTAATAATGTGCCATTTTATACAGTACTCTATTTAAGTAGTATGTTTCATTCTCCATTCGACAAATGTTTATTGAACATCTCCTATCACAAAGATACTGTTGAATAAATACATACAGATATGAACTTAGGAATTAAATGGCACTGCACTTTGTAATGCACTTGGAGTTAAGTGAAATATTTCATCTCCAGAAAATAAGGAAAGCAAGGGAAGTGAGTTTCGTGTGATTGGCATGCTACCAGGGCTATCCTTCTGATGCATTACTAACTGGATTCTGTTGCAAGTTAAATAAGCCACAAGTTAACAGATCAGCAGTATTAAGGGGTGTACCTGAATTTAGCTCATTAAATAGTTTGCTTTTTACACGTCTCCAAAGATTAAACATTCAAACCTGAGAGAAGTTAAGATTATATATATATTTTTTAGTATTTTAAAAATAAATTGCAATCCAATTGTGAATTGAATCAAGATATCTCTTCCATGTTGTGAAAAATCGATCATGCTGAAACGCTTATGTTTCCTTGCCAAGGAAGAATAGTAACAAAGCTGCCTAGATCATCCCTGAGAGATCCTGAAAGTGTATGCCCCAAAATGTTAAAAGTGCGAATCTTGGGATAAGGGAGGGAGGTTTCATGGTTTTCTGCTGTTATTTTCTCACTCTTTAGTGCATTTTCAGATCTTTCAAAAGACTGTTTATGGTGAGAATAGTTAGAAATTATAGAGCAAGCTGATGAAAATTTAAGAGGAATACCAAGATCGTAAAAATAACTGGATAGATTTTAAAGAATAACAAATAGGCAAACTTGGTGTTGCTAAATTTACAGTATCAGTCATTGATTATTGGTTGACTGATCAGGAAACATAGAACCTGGTATGTTGTGGAACTCAGTGTAGAATGAGGAGAGATTCATAAATCAGGGGGAAAATGAGAGTCTGGTTGTTTGATAAACTTGGTTGACTGTTAGGTAAAACAAAGTTGGATTTTTACCTCCTCCTTATATACCAAAAGTTGTTCTTAATGAATTTAAGAGTTAATGTAACAAAGTATTAGGGAAAGCAGTAAATAAAATTACACGTTTCTTTACATCGGCAATTGAAAGGACCTTTTGAGCGAAAAGCAAGGAAAGGAAAAATTAACAGCCTTGACACCACATTGCTTTTTTGATCTGAGTATCATAAATAAGGAACAAAATGGAAAGACAGACAGAGTGTCAGTAAGCTGTACAACAAACATGGCAAAAAACTGATATTCTGAAGAAGTCATATAGATCAATAAGAGTAACACTAAAATTAAATCTCAATAGGAAAATGGGCAAAAGAGAGGAACATCCTCTTCCGTTGAAAAGGAATCCAAGTAACCCGTAAGCATGAAAAAATACTCAGCCTCACAAAAAAAATGCAGATTAACTTTGTTTGCCCATCATATATTTAATGATTTTAAAAAGCAGATAGTTTGGTGAGGGTGCAGTAAAAAACATCGTCTTATTCACTACTTGAGGGAGCGTATTTTGTTAAACGTCTTCTGTAGGTGATGTTTCAGTGTGTTTCAACATCTTTGAATTTTTTCTAAGAATTTAGCCTACAGAAATGTATATGTAGATTTATTTTTAAGGATGTTTACCACAGGATTTGTAACAGCAAAACAAACGAACGAAGAAAACCTGAATTTAGATCTCTATATAAATTAGAATATATCCACACTTTGGATGAATTCAACGTAACTGGAATTTTCAAAATTTTAAGGCTATGAAAATGCTCATCATATCATATTATGTAGAAAAATCAGAATATAAAATTGTAAAGTTGAACATACGATAGCAATCCAGTTCTGAAAAAAAGCTGAATAAAAAGGCTAATCGGATTTACAGCTATTGTCTTCTTTGAACCTTATGAGTTTTCCAAGATCACTACATTGTACATGTATTTCATTTATGTAACATCTGGTTAAGACACTTGACCCCTGCTTCTCATCTTTCCATTGAGAAAGATAGTGTCCCTGTCTCTGTTAAATCAAGGCCATTATAATTCACTATTATTAGGCTGATAAGAGAACTTTCAATTAAGCCATTCCAGATTAAACACTATCAAGTCCATTAGAATGTGCCTGCTCCTTTTATTAAAAATTCATTTATGCTCTTTGTAATAATGATTTTCCATGCTGAATTCATGTGTTTTGAAACCTAAAGAAAAAAAATGGATTGAGTAATAGGAAGGTACATCCTACAGAAATGAAGCTGGGTAGGGAAGGAAAGCAAATCACTAGAAACTCCTTGAATCAAAATATCCTGAATAAAAGCAGGATATTCTCTACTATATTTATTTTTATGCCACTTCTAGAAATGTTAAGAACTTTGGGAATGGTGCTATTTGTAGCATATTTCCCTAGAGTTGAGAGAGGTAGCCAGTTGTAACTGAAAAGATTGCTAGGCATTTGAACGGGCC